GAACCGGCGCTCGAACGCTCTAGCTCCCTACGGACTACGGCGGCGGCAAAGGCGGCAAAGGCGGCAAAGGCGGCAAAGGCACAACACTGGCGCTAATGCTGGCGCATTGAGGGTTTATTTTGACTAATATAGAGTTGGCTCAGCCTTGGGTTAGGTCTCATGGATAACCATTCAATCTCGTAACCATAACCCGTAGGAGTTGCCACGTCATCCGGGTTTGGTTACAAAACTTGTTGACCCGGGTGTAGGTTCCATTGACACAGGCAGGCAACCTGACCAGTCACCTTGAGCACATATTCAAGGCCATAGGGGGGCCATAGTTCCCGAAACTGGCAAAGAATCAAAATTTGCAAGGGGTGCGCACGGGGTGCGCAAGTCTCTAACCATCACCTGACGTTTGAAACAAGATCCAAAACGTCTCGAGCATACATACCTACATATATTTGCGATCGAACTTCAAGTCCTTGACTAGTTGCCTTATTGTCCTATACACATGATACTCCTTGAGGCTGCATAACATGTGCGCTTCGACTCACTACAACAGCTTAAGCATCTCTCTTCTCTATGACAGTGTTCAGGATTCTGCTTCCCATTCATAAACTACAACTCGCCATCCCAAAGCTCTGTCGTCGTTTTGTAAGGACCCGTTTTTTTGCCAACGAAACCCGTTCCAGCAACGATGCGCCCCTGCAAAACATACCACTTCTTTTAGTGAACGCGAACTATAACGGCAGCTCCGTGAAAAGTCGATTGCTCGAACTCAATTGACGGATGTCATGCTGGTCAACGCGGATTCCAGGAGCTAGGCTTGAAGTTGGACCTGAGGACAACTCCAGGACTGTTCAATTCACTCGGCCCGAGGACACCTTTTCAAACCAGGCCCGGGACTCTAGACTTGAAGGGGAGCACAAACCTGGGAATCAAGTTCAGTGAGTTGCGCACAAAGACGAATCTCATCAGGGCCGCAAAAAGCAAGTCGAGGAGTTGACTCAAGACCTAGATGTGGGGCAAGACTCAGACAGAAGCCAAACTGACCTGGTCTTCGATCGAGCTGAGCGCCTTCATGTCCTCTTCCGAGAGCGACCACTCGGTCACCTCCAGATTGCTCCGCAACCGGTCGAAGTTGGTGCTCTTTGGCAGCACGCTCGTGCCCCGCTGGAGGCCCCACCGCAGAACGACCTGCGCGGGCGACTTGCCCAGCTTCTCCGCTATCTGCACAAAAAGGATATCAAAGTAAATCCAAGCTGAGCCCAAGTCCACAAAAGGTATCAAAAACATAGTTGAACTGTTCACGTGGAACCCATGCGGAGTGCAAAGCCCTTGCCCAGCCTTTTCGTGGGCATCGAACGTAGCGGCAAGTGCGGAACGTAAGGGAATTGCAGCAAAAAGCACTAGAACATGCAGCTGGAAAAGGGGACCTTCGTGCTTTACAGCACCAGGACAAGCCATTCGACGTCGAAAATCACGAGGTTTCAAATATCAGTGTTGTCCTTGCGTTCAGATTAAGACTCCGAGAAAATTCGACAACAAACCGCCCTTACTTGCTTCACCACCGGGTACTCAAGCACCTTCCTGTTCTCGTCGCCAGAGCCCAGAGGCGAGTACGCCTGCAATCAACGGGGAGAGGATGAGAAGCGGGGAAGAAAAGCAACGAAAGAGCGTGCAAAAGCTAATGGGGCGGGTGATTCCAGAATCTTTCAAAGCCTCAGCGCGCTACATCTGAAAGGCAATCTTGTAAACGGGTTCGAGCAAAGACCAAGGCTTTGTCCGGAACAATCTGGGACAAGTACTTCTGCCAACAAGGGATATCGGTACGTTCGTACAACTCCAATAACTCGAGTTTCTACTGCAGCACTGGAGAAAAGCCGTCATTCAGGTTTCAAAAACCCAGCGCATCAATACTTTTTCACCGTTGCATATGCAACATTTCTTGCCGACTGAACTCCTTCCCTTGTCTCCGAATCTTCGGACCAAAGTATTCCTGCTTCGTTTGGAAAGCTCACCGAAAGATGCACGCCCTTCTCCTTTGCGAACGCCAGCATCTTGTCGTTTCGCCACAGCGGGTGCAGCTCAATCTGGTTCACAGCGGGCGGAACCTTGGCATAAGACAGAACCTCGCCCAGCTTCTTCATTGACAGGTTGCTAACCCCAATCGACTTCACTAAACCCTGCTCCTTAACCCGCTCCATGGCCCGCCACGTCTCCTCGTAGTTGGTCTCATCCACCAGCTTCGAGTCGCTCGTGTCGCCCTTGCGGACGCGGAGCGGCCAGTGGATCTGCGGATTAAGAGAGGTTTGAAAAGGATTAACCAGTACTGTCAGATGTTTTTGGTTCGCCACCACGCTTCGTCGTTCTGAATCTCGCGAGCTTGAAGCGGACAGGTGTGATTACCATATCAGAGCATGGGCAAGCATGAACACAAAACATGGGTTGGGAGGACTGGTTGTGGCACCTCTACTTCGAGAACGTCCTGATAAGGTTGACTTCATACAATGAGGAATAATGGCTAAAGGTAGACACCTGGATACAGTGAAGAAGCTTGCTTGGCTGAAAGAAAGACCAAAACGCACCAGAGGGAAGGAGGGAGGGCGACGAGAGACAAATTGCACAATATATCAAAGTCATCAATACAGTGAAAAAGCACCGAGAGAGCCCCTGGAAAGATAGCACCCAAACGAGAAAGGTTGGCGCTCACGGAAGAAACGATGGCTCACTAGGGCAGATGCATCAAGAAAAGTATGCTTACCAGATACAAGTCCAGATACTCGAGCTTGAGGTCCGACAGCGTTTGCTTGAGAGCTTGTGGCACATCCTCCGCCGCATGCTGGTCGTTCCAGAGCTTGGACGTGACAAAAAGCTCCTCCCGCTTGACAAGGCCCTCCTTGAACGCGGACTGGAGCGCTACGCCTATCTGCATATGGATTGTGGTACATCACTCGTGGCTTTTCTAGATCCTTGTCAGGAAAAAAGACTTCTTCTGTCGTGTTGGATAGGAGACTATGACGAGGTCTGCGTGGTTGAGCCCCTGTCAAGGCAGCGACTCCGGTCACAGAGCCGCTCTCATAGAGCAGAAGGTTCAACAGGTTCGGTCCACCAGCAACCCTGTTTATGAGACTGTGACGTAGCTCCTGAAGCTTGTTCTGAGGCGGACAAAGTGCTGCCTGCAGTATGCATCATGATGTAAAGCCTCCAAAAGTTCCAGTTTGAGAAAAGCTTCAATGCTCAGAGCAAATATAAATGAAGAGATAATCTCAAAGAGCCCCACCGCACAACTTTCTAACAATGGTGGTACAGATGGTTTCTTTGAATGAAGAGAGCCCTTATGCCCTGCAAAATCTCCCTGTTTGGCATCGCTAAAACTGAACTGTGGGCTTCCAGAGATGGAGAGGTGTAGCTGCATGCATTGGTGGCAAGCAGTCAATAGTCTAACTATACCAGCACAGCATCAGACAGCATGGCCGATGGGAGAAGCCTGAATTGCACCCAAGCACAAAAGGGAGGTCAAGCGGGGGTCAGTGCAGCCAAAGCACTGGTTACATAGTCCAAGCTACCACCACCACTACTTTTTTCACCCCCTTTTTCTGAATGTTTTCCAAGCCGCAGCCAAGGAGGTGAGAAACCCTCCCTAACCAACAACTGGCTAAAAAGTTTAAAAGTCTTTTGACAAGGATCAGGTTTTGCACCATCCCTTCATAACGCCGTTATGTGATGGTGGTGGATATAATTACACCACACCACACCACATGTCCATCACAAGATTGCTTCCCTCAAGCTTGGCATACTGATCAAAGCACAACCAAAGCATGGTATCAACAAGTGAAGGAGTTCATCCGTTGAACCTCCGGTTTCAGTGAGGGTCTTCTGCATCAACTTAGGAAGAAAGTATATGCTGAAAAAGCTCCTTACCTCAGCCTCATTGCCGTAAATTGCCGCGCAGTCAATGTGCCGGTATCCAGCCTTAATTGCAGTCTTGACAGCCTCCCCCACTTGGCCTGGCTCAGATCGCCAGGTCCCCAAACCAACGCCAGGAATCTGATGGCCAGAGTTCAACTTGAAGGAAACTTTCGTCCCCGTGCCCACTTCAGAACCCATGCTCACAGCAGATTGCGCAAACGTGCGGAGCAGGAACGAGGTGCGGCGGGCGCACGTGGCAAGCAAACTTTGAGACGCAATGGTGCTTGATTTGGGCGTGAGGAGATCAGGATGGAAGTCGGAAGGGACACCTTTTAAATTTTGATTGACCCACTTGATCAGCAAAAGCTTGGACGAAGCTTTGGCCTAGGGAAAGCGACTGGCAAACAGTGTGGATAGATACCGGTACTCAAGGAATCACGAGGAAGACGGTCCCTTTCAAAAAGCATCCAGCCAGCATGCAGCCGTCGATGATCGTAGAGGGTGCCACTTGTGTGCATGTGGGAGTTTCTCGACCCTCTCTGACGTACCCGTAGTGGCACGACCCATTCGCACCAAGCTCTTACGAAAATTATTTTTTTCGCTTTTCTGATTTCGCACCAAGGTTCGGGGGGATATTTTCTTATCGCACAAGCGCAAATTTACAGTGTTTCAGCCCATTTCTACGCGATTTCAGGCTTCATTTGGGTTTATTTCCGTTTCGCTCTTTCGCACCAAGGTCAGAATAATTTCCGGAATTTTTCGCACCAAGGCCTTTCGAATTATTTTTGGTGCGAATGGGTCGTGCCACTACGGTACCCCTTACGTCATTTCAATGGCGGATCAGTCCATTCAAGTTGGCAAGCTCCAACCCACGAAAGTGCATTCTTGATCCGCATTTGCTTCTCAATCCAACGGATCGGCACCTGACCGCATGTCCAGTCTCGTCCTCCTGGCAGCACTTCAGAAGCGTTGCCTGACGTCCCCTTTTACTTCTCGCATCACATCACAGGCGCGCACCACTTATCAGAGATCTGTCATAGGCTTATATCATCCCTCCGTTGCATTTACTGGGACTGCAAGCGGAACTGCACTTATCAAACCAACGTTGGCATCTTGCGCTTATCGCAGCCCGCACAACGGTTCTAGGGTAGTGTCATTTCCTGCCAGGGCAACGATGTCGGCTGTGGACAACAAGAGAGCAAGGACGGAGGAGGCAGTCGGGGAGGGCGCCAAAAAGCTGCAGCTCTACTCGCTTGCTACTCCGAATGGACAGAAGGTAAGAGTGCAACAACTAACAGTCAGGGAAGGAGGGTAGAAAGCAAACGAACGTGATCTTTCGTTGTTAATCAGGATTGGTTCCTCCCATCTGAGATGAGCACTGGTGGTTGAAGTAAAGTATCCAGAAGAGGTTTGCAAGGTGGTCGTTTGATGGCCGCTCTAGCACCTGCAGTGGCTCAGAAAACAAGGTGATGCTGTGGCTTGCTTGTGCACGTTCCTTGCACATGTTGCCTCATATTTTGACGTGGATTGCACAAAGGTTTGCTGCGTAGGCAATTATTGGCGGTCTTTTTCAACAATCTGGCTGAGTGGTCGCAACAGTGGTCGCACAGTGCTTATAATCTGATCCGTACTCAAAAGGTACTATTTTTATGCAGAAGGTTTGCTTTGATTTGAGTCCTGAGCAAAAGTCTGAAGCAGATTCTAGACCACGCTCAAATAGGAATGGTAGAAACAGAGGGCAGACAATCGTGGGCTCGAGTTTCTGAAATACCTGGCAAGTCTGACTAACGAAGAGTAAACCTCTAAAGGGCCTCAATCAGGACCAAGCTTGGGAACAGCAGGATGATTAAATGATGGCTCAAAGATCTGGCCTTTAGAATGTTCATCAATTGCCACCTTTAGGAAGAAGCTGGAGGAGCATGTGAAGGAGCCTTGTGGAGAATACTGTTAGATGGATTGCCGATTGCCTTGTTAAGCACTCGCCAGACTGAACAGCTGATCTCCCGACAGCATTGAAGTGTCAACCCACCAGTCCGGACGATTACCATAATCACCACCTCCATACGAATTGATTAGGAAAATGATGGTGTTCCAAGGTCCTTTGAGGTTGCCACCTCCTGACAGGCGCTCTGGGACAGTCACAGGCTTGATCCGGAGAGAGGTTGCTCTGTTTTAGACCGGATTCTAGGCAAAAGCCCCATACTTCTATCTGACTGCCATGTTGATTCTGGGGACTTCAGTCCATGACATGGTACCTGAAGAAAGTAAAGATGGTGCGCGAGGTGTGGTTGGCATCCAGTAGCAAGATATGCACTTTACAAAGTGTCCCTGCTCATGCAGATTGGAGTTGCGCTGGAGGAGATGGAGATTCCTTACGACGCGCACACTATTGACATATTCAAGAACACCCAGTTTGAGGACTGGTATGTGAAGATCAACCCCAACTCCAAAATCCCGTCAATCGTGGACCCCAATGGCCCAGGTAAGCAGCCCCTCATATGTCCTCGAAGGCTTGAGCACAGAATTCGCGTTTGAATTGGGTCAATCACTGCACCCAGATTGGCTTGCCACATATGGTGCTGTAAAAGTCGACTCCATGGAAAACAGAAGTTAGTTAACGATTGTTGTTTCAGAAGCCCTTGTATTTCCAGTGGCCCTGCGGAAATAACCACAAGGATGATCTACCAAGGCTCGTTAGCTTGGTATCGTACATATTTCCACTGACATGAAACCATTGAAAAGCATCTGGTTTGGCTTGGTGGATTTGCAGTTATTGAGCAGAGTCGCTGGTCGATTCAGTTGTTGGAGTTGACTTCAGAAAGAAAGTCCGCCATCTCTAAATCATCGAGCAAGTCATATCGTTGGACATTCGGCTTTTGTTTCGGTCGAGTACAGCTTCGTATCAAATTGATTGAAACCATTTCAACATCGGCAAAACGTCAGCCACTCTCAAATGCTTGGGTAAGGCACCTCAATAAAGACCCGACCTTCAATCAGTCAAAATAACATGCATTCAAAAGCCTTGTGGGTGGATCTCAACTGCATCCGCTTGTCTGCTCTGGGCGTGCTTTTTCACGGCAAACCGACCAGCTTTCTGCATATCGTGCCAATAATCTTTAGCAATTGTGTGCAGGCGGTGAAGAGGTGCACATGATGGAGAGCTGCGCAATCCTGGTGTACTTAGCGGAGAAGACGGGCAAGTTCCTGTCCAAGGATCCGATCAAGCGGCTCGAGACCCTGCAGTGGCTCTTCTTCCAGGTGGGTTTGAAGAGTCTGAGCTCTTCTCCACTTTCGTGACCGCCGGTATCATCGCTTTCCCAGAGATTGAAAGTGTTGTGGGCTGCGCTGAAAAAACTCTTTTTATTCTTCGCTCCAACGTTGTACAGCGTTTTGAATTCAGGGAATGTCAGGTCCCCATTCCTCATGTCTGGCTTCTTGCGCCTTTCGCATTCTTGCACGAGCCAGAACGATGATTTGTGGGACCAGTCCGTGAACTCCGTTCAGACTCTCCTGAAAGCAGCACTACGTTCTCGAAACGTAAGCTTCTCGTTTTAAGCGCAGCCCGCGTTGCGTTCCATCTAGTCCTGGCGCGCTTTCTGTAACAGATTGGAGCTTATGCAGGCCAGTCCGCCCATCAAGTAGTTTGCCGCTCGTGTCATACAACGGCATGGGTTCTCTCTACCGGTGAAGTCGTTTGCTGATTCCATCGGTCACCTCCTTGATTGAACCGCTAGTTCAAAGGTTGACCATCATTGATTGCGTCACAAGGCTCCTCAAATCGGTCAATATTGGGGCTGCCAGTACGGGCACTCCACAACGCAGGCGAAAAGTGTGCACATTATTCTTCTCCCTGACGTCAATCGCTGATCTCACTGCCCATCTAGCTCATTAGTCAGCTGACGTCATTGCTGGCGTCATCAGGCGGCCCGCATCGGGCCGATGTCGGGGCAGTACGGTTACCTCCTCAAGTACCTACAGCGGCACAAAGTGCACTTGATTGCTTCCACTTCTGACGTCGGACGCTTAGGTTATCGTTGATGTGATTCCTTGTTTCACCGGCTGACGTCATTCCTCACGTCGTCAGGCGGCGCACGTCGGGCCGATGTCGGGGCAGTACGGCCACTTCCAAAAGCACGTCGGCAAGAGGTTTGCTCAATTCCTGCACGGCTGACGTCAGATACCAATGTCACCGTTCAACCGACTGCCTGTTTTCACCATCTGACGTCATTGCTTGCGTCATCAGGCGGCGCACGTCGGGCCGATGTCGGGCCAGTACGGGCACTTCCACAAGTACGTTGGCGAGAAGTGCACGCACCCGTACCCCGAAGAGCGCTACCGCACGGAGGTGACGCGGCTGCTGGGCGTGCTGGACAAGCGGCTGGAGGGGCGCGAGTTCCTCGTTGACGACGGGTGAGTGTCGCTTTACGGTCCCTTTTCCTGACCTCGCGATGGGTTTGTTTGATTATGAGCATTTGGTTGCTAGTTCCATCTGTGAGTTCCGGGTGTCTTCTGAAGGATAGACCTTCTGGCTGGAGGGTCTCGAGTTCCTCAATGACGATGGGTGAGTCTCGGTTAATCTTCAAACCCATTGGGGCATTCGTTCAATCACAAGATAGGCTTCTCGTCTTTTCCTAATTGCTTGTCTCTTACGGGCACTGGGGTTGTGGCGCGTTCTGCGCGCTTTATTTAGTAGGCTCGATGGACAACTGCAACAGCAGTCCGCCAAAAGGCCAGGTCGCTTGATTAGGGCATTGGAACCGGTCACCCAGCGCTGAAGACGAAAGGCATTTTGATCAATCATGTTAACCGTGTGCTCACGCTGCGCATGCAGTCTTACATTGGGCCCGAACCAACCCGTCTTTCAGAGAGCTTGCGATTCTTGTCACGGTTGCAGAATGGGTTCTTTAAAGACCCGCTCTCGGTCCACATTTAATCATGCTCGACGTCATGTAGCGTCGGTCAGGGTCGCACAAGCTGACGTCACGGCTCGCTCGCAGGTTCTCCATCGCGGACATGGCCACTTTCCCGTGGCTCGAGTGCATCCGCGGGCCCAAAGGCTACGGCTCTCCGCAGTTGCTCGAGCCACACAAGAACGTGACGGCGTACCTGGACAGGTGTCTGGCGCGGCCGGCCGTCAAGAGGGGGATGGGCGTCACCCCGTTTCCCGAGCGGAAATGAGTGCAGTATTAGGGAGTGAACGGCACGCAATTTTGCCGAGGAAGTGTAACACATTTTTGCGGATTGAGGTTGCACGATCACCCCAACCAAATCAATTGAAGCCGCCGAATGAGTTGGATCATTGTCCGTTAACTGGAGCCGAGAGACAGTCTGCGCCGCTCTCATACAGATGGATTGAGATTTGAGTCGGCTGTAACGATCAAAGCAAATATTCACTCGAGCTCCCTTAAGCAGTCAACAATGCACATCTCCAGATGTCAGTTTACCATGTAGTTTACGTGGGGCAGATTTAAACGCAGCTAGTAAGTCAAGCGGTCGGACATGATTGTTTTAACTAATTGGCTACAAAGGTTTTGCTGAGTTCGCTGCGTTCAATGTATTTATAGGTGTTTATTTGTTACGTGGCACGCAAAACTAATCGTGGATACAGAAAGCCTAACTTCCTCAGGCAAGCTGAAGTAAAAAAGTCGCCATAACATGATGCAGAGATCGCGATCTCTGAATCCTGAAAGCATGCGCCATGGCTCTCAAAATATTTCCTTTGGCACCATTGCCGATGGTCAACTAGATGAAACTTGTGAAAGCATGCACAGTGGATCGACCACAATATCATCAGAGTGACAGCGCCTATAGCTGCAGATAGGCATGCTAAGAGCATGCTTGCACCTGATGGCACTGATCTCTTTGACAGCAACTTCATTTGGTTATGTCGGCTGTTTGATCCGGTCTGAATCCGCATTCGGTAGCAGATGTGGCGGCAGAGTGGCCGCAGCGTCAATATATCCCGTCCGGACATTTAAGACCTGGCCACCATTTCGACGATCACTTGATCATATGGGGAACTAAGTGGATATGCAGTGAGACGGAGTCCTTAAGACTCCCCATGCTTGACAATCGCAAGACATACCGGTATTGGGTTACGTAATGACCCTACATTGCCAAGTTATACTGTTTTAGTCAACTTTGTGTTGACACTGATCCACCGGTGAAAACCCAACAATTGAAACGTGCAGCTCACACACGTATCGTCGTGGCCGATTGAAGCTTCGTTCGAACCAGAGTACCGAAGGTACATTGATGTGATTCGCAGCATATGATTTCAAATTGTGCTCCTGACTGTGCGGGCACTTGCAAGCAGCGCACGCATGCACGAAGTGGTAGCGGCGAAGGAAGGACGACAGCAAGAAGCGCATTTGCAGAAGCGGGTTGCAAAGCGGAAGGCACAAAACGCTGTGCGCGGACAAAACAAAAGCTGCAGTGGAGCTCACGTATCAAAGTAGAACCGTCATCACAACTGGGGTTGGAATCTCCTCAATCGAGGCGCGCGCGTTTTGTTTGCAAAGCGATGGAGGGCGACCTGGACGAGACTGTGGAGCGCTGCGCTTCCCTGCTGACGTCAGAAAGTGACGGGATCCGGGCCGGTTGGAGCCTGCTGATAGGCCTTCTTCAAGGTGGAGATGAGAATCGGCTGAGATTCGCCAGGGTCGCCCAAGAGATAGCGGCATGTAACGGGGGCGCCGTACTTAGGCGGCTCTTGTGGCTGACGCTCGGGCGACTATACCGGATTGAGCTCGATACTGAAGGTCGCCAACACTTCCTCGCATCTAGTTACACGCTGTCGCTTGGGATGCTGACGTCGAGCAAGGTGGTAGTGAAGCGCTGCTTGAGAGAGGGACTCCGGCCGGGAGGGGAGGAGAACAAATTCCGGCCGGAAGAGGATGATGAAACCGGAACAAAGCGGGGGGAGAAGGACAACGGAGGAGGACCGGAAGAGAAACGGAACGGAAGAGGGCCAGAAGAGAAGGAGAACGCGCGGCAGATCTACGCGCACCTTTTGCGGCACGTCGCGCACTTCTGCAAGATCGTGCGCCTCTCGGGGGGCCTTTGGAACTCTTCCACCTTAAAACGTTTGTCCACTTTGGTCGTGGCCGGTTCTCTGGAATGCCTGGCCAACTTTGCGCGGGCTTCGAAAGCATTCCGGGACGCTATTCGCGACGCAGCGGAAGAGCCGAACATGTTCGAGCAACTTACGGACCTGCTGCGCTCGGAGTGCGTGGCACAAATGTCCTCTGATATTGTCCGGAAGATCCGGCTCGCTTTGGCGGGTCTAGCAGTCTCGCTCGCGTCTTCTGCGGACAGTCAATTTTGGGCAATCGACCGGGGTCTCCTAAAGCTGATCGCAACCATCTACGAAGCGTCCCCCGTGCGAGAGTTGGCCAAACTGTCCAAGCGGGCGGCGTCTCCGGCGTACCGCTGCAACATCGCCCTGTTCCGCTTGCTTTCCGTGGACACTCTAGCGGAAAAGCTGCGCGCGCACAACGTGCTCGAAGGTTTCCGCCCTCACAAGCGGACGATCAACAGCGCGGAACCGGAGTCCCACCCCTGGGCGTACTTCGAAGGCAGGTTGCAAGGTCTGGAGATGCCCCTGAGACGCGAGCTTTCCGCCGCGGATTGGAAGCTCGCGGAAGAACAGCTCAGCGGAAGGTACTTGGTCCCGGTTGTATGCTCGTGGAGGCTGTGCGCGGCCGGCCGCGAGCCCGTCATTGGGAAGGGGTTTAGCAAATGCGGGCGCTGCCAGGTGGCACGCTACTGCAGGTGAGAGCCCCGTCGTACCAGCGGAAAACCATTTCATTTGCCGGTCCGCTTCGCGTTCTGCGTGAAGTCGACAAGATGCGGCCAAGTGGTTCAATCAATGTCTTCCTTAAGAAAAGAAGGCATTATTTCCCGATTCAATTGTCTTCAGATTGTAAGTATTTTCCCGTACGAGATCGTCTTTCTGAGGCTTCTCTTTTGATCTAGCCATTCCTACTCGTCTTGGCAATGACGTCAAGGATGCCTTCGGGTGGACAACTTGGAACTCTGGCTTCGAATCGTCTCTTTGCAACCTTGAGGTCTGATTGGGGCAACCGAACGTCAAAAAGTTTCCTAGCTCGACAGAAGGAGTCGTCAGAAAGTGTCAAATTGAATGGGGAGATCGCAGCCGCGGACTGGATACGCGGATTGACTTTCGTTCTTCCCTGTCAGACCTCACTTTGAGTACAGAGGTTACGAGTTGTCATGCTGCAGAGAACCTTTCAGGGTCTAGCTCGGGAGCTGGCAAATAGGCCCATGGCCGGTAATGTTTCTCTGCACGTACACAGTAAATCGAGACCCGGTTTAAGTACGCTTTTCAGTATGGGCAGGGAGGATTATGTTCAGCATCGATCTGAAAAAAGAGACCTTTCAGACGATATTAGTCTTACGATTTGAAGTCGAACTTCAAGGCGCCTATGTCCTTGATGAGGGGACTTTTCAGTCGGAATCGTTCTTTAAGACCGTGCTTGATCCGGGTCCTGATTTATAGTGGTAGTCCAAATATGCATCCTTCGCGTCCCTGTTGCATTTGGTGTCCGTATCTCGCTCAGATCTTTTGGAGGATTTGGATCTAGCCCGAGCGTTCATCCGTTGAAGGTTACTTCAGCATCTGAACCGTGCAACATGTTCGAACACGGCCAAGTGTCATTTACACGTGCTTCTTTCATGCAGCAAGGAGCATCAGAAGCTGCACTGGGAGACCCATAAGAAACATTGCAAGGCACCTCAGGCAAAGAAAGACGTGACGAAGACAGAATGAGATCAAACTCGAGACAATCAGAGGCCTAGGTCGAATAAAGTTCGCACATCCATCCGCCGATCTGCTTCGCTCAGCGGCCATGGGGTCATGGGCACCGCTTGGAAAAAGAGCTTTTGCGATTTGAGTCTGAGATCCGCCCTGAATTATGGTGCTCAATTGTGTCGTCCTCAGACCCAGTGTTCTCGGAGATAGAGCACCCAACCTTGAGAGAGTCTGCCGCACTGCATGACCCTCGGGTGTGAGTGAGGCAATCGCACGCGAATATTGTATGTGTTTGGAGTAACGGCGTCGTGCAATCGATGCAGCTGCCTCGTTCCAAAAGCGCCGCGCGCCCTTGCATGCTGATTGATACCATTGCACAGACATGCGAGCGGCTCTCTTGTTGGTGGATACTTGGGAAAAGGCACTCGACACGTCTCGACACTTCTTTCCAAACAAAAGTAAGTTCAGGATTGGGAGCACATGCTCCGCCGTTACAATGCACGCACCGCCCCAACTCCTCATGCCTGCAAGAAGCCTGATACATATGGACCTTGACGTATGCATTTAGAGCTGCAATTCGATCATTCAGGCTTGCTCAGCCTCGAATGACTGAAGCAGCTCTATCATTTGACGGGAGCTGACCATCATTGCATGCCGGCTGAAGCTCGATATTTATACAGGCTCGCTGTTCTGAATCACCATCTGCATGCCCGGTGGCAGCGTTGATCGAGTGCTTAATAGCCGCTTTAATGCATCACTAGAACCTAGCCGCCCTAGCTTTTATAGCATCATATACTGGCAGCCGTTCAACTGGCTGGCGGCCAACACAGCGAGAGCGATCAATCTGCATGTGGCCATTGAATTCAATGTAAGAACTTGCTTAACGGGCAGCTAGGTCCACCGGACTCCTCAATCAAATAGTCGTATACGGTATGGCACGCAGCATCGAGAATAAATTGCCGGGGTTCAGGAACTTTGAAGCTCACTTCCATGTGAATGATTCTGCATGACGAACAATATCCAGCCGCCTTCTATGTGTTGGAGGTCATGCAGAGCCGGCAGTAAAATCACTCACGTGAGAACGAGTGCACTTTGATATTTGCAGCTTTCACCTGGAATGAGCACTTTAATGATGAGTCAATCGTCTTCTCGACCCGGTTGACTGCACTTAGCGGGTCTTTCGAAAATCAAACGTCGCACTTTGAGGCGTTGAGGCACCACGGTCGACGATAACCATAACCGAAGCCCGTTTGCAACAGCATTCGCTTCCTTAATTCTGTATGAATTGCATTTCCGTCTTCGTCATCCTCATCACTTTCTGCTGAATACGGGCAAGCAACAATTCCCCATATCGCAACTCCCGTTGGGCTAATCGTCATGCAGTCTGACGGCAAACGACCCGTTTTAAGCGCTGTTGCGGTAGCTGCAGAGTACGAATAGCCGCCAGCTTATGATGGCGAGAACGACAACCGCGGCGATCTCAAAGCCAACGACCGACACCCCGTCGGTAACCTTGCCCAGACGGAGGTAGCTGCAAGTGAAAGAAATTGAGTCAATCATCGCGTTGTCTCTTCTTTGCATGGAAAAGAAGTGGTGAAGCCAGAGCGGATGAGCGGGTGAGCGGATTTCAAATCACGAATGACACTACAAGCTGTCCACACGCTTCTATCGAACGACCAGCAGACTCGTCGGTAATATTTGCGCTCCTGCGATAGGTTTCACAGAAGACAGAACTGCATTCCGACCAGAAGTGCACCCTACCTGCTGCTTTCAACTGATACTTGTCTTGAAATCGTTCTCATCAAAGCAAGAAGCGCTTCGATTGCATTCTTTGCAAGCAAATGAAGAGGAAAACAAGCACAAGGGAAAACAATAACAATTACGTCCACTACGGGCTGGTACACTGGCAGAAAGCATTTTTGGGAGAAGGAATGGGGGAGCTCTGGGGTGGGCATGGTTACGAGTAATAAATCTTCAACTTCAGGGGATCTACTTAGCTCATCCCCCGAGGGATCCTCAGAGAAGCATTGCAACTTGTATCCTTCTCGAGGAAGAAAGTTACCAGTATTAGGGTTCGCTCACCTCAGGACAACAGGCAGCGCAGCGTGCACGCCCGCAAATGTGTACAGAATGGGCAGCAGGCCGGCGGGCTTGCTTTTCCGGAGCCAGATGAGGGACGCCAGAGCCGCCAACGACAGGTTGAAGACCTGGAGAAGTTTACGGAGCCCGCGGTCAGCCAATGGCCTAATTGGCAGAGCATCTTTTGACAGTGGATGCTCACTGCTTTGATTGTCACACAGCGTGGCCGAAGCTACCGTTCCAAATGCCTGCGCAAACTCATCCTGTTAAGTGATCACACACGTGGGCCTGGATCTCCACTCAACGGTCAGCGTATGTCTCCTCGTGAAGTTTTCACCATTCCGGAAAGGTCGGACACAAAGGAGCGGCGACAGGGACAGTCCCGGCGGATCGGGGAACAGCATCGCTCAGAATTTTTAAATCTTGCAGCTTCACCAGAGAATGTCTGAGGGCAATTATTCGACTTGCAGTCCTCTCCTCGCGTGGGCTTCGTCTTCCTGCGAAGCAACCGCTGATCACTTCACACCCATATCTTAGTCAACACCGGTTGTGGCAGCCGCTCAAAGGGGTCAAGGGCAACAGCTCACCAGGTTCGCGTTCGCCTCGAAGCCCTGCAGGAGGTCGTCCCAGGAGGACTCCGCCTTGCGTGCGTTCACCCACAGGGGGACAGCCCGATGGAGCACGGAGTCGGCAAAGGCCCAACCTAAGAGCGAGGAAGAATAGATGAATGGGTGTGGCTCTCTTTCTCTACCTGACAGCCCGCAGGAACCTGCGTCTCTACATTCTAGTGCACACAGAACGAGAAAAGAATTTCGATGACCTTGGAATCCCTCAAGCGCACATGTTGCTTGCCGAATGGCTTGCTGATGATGGGTGCAGATTACTCCGCGAGCTGGGAAACAGACGCGGAACCGCACGGTTTTCTGATGATAGACCGCCTATGACATGACTCGAATAGCACGTAAATCACCCGCTGTCAGGCGGGAAGGGTCGACAGTGTCACTCCTCATCGGTCTCGCTTCTAGATGGCCGTCTGTTCTTAGCTTCCAGCAATCCGTGTTGTCCATGTATGGACTGAACCCACTTAGATTCGACCATATCTGAATGGCCCCACTGGGAAATGCATCCAACGACACAGACAAGACACCTGAGGCGATACTCGCAAAACCTGTCGTAGGGGCTCTCTCATCGGTCGAATGTACCTCAAGCATCAAACGGTTAGCTGACACACTGGCAGTCTGCGAGATCTTTTTGATGGTTTTGCGCATTGGAGTGTTTCTAACCTAAGCCGACCGCCTGGAACTTGTGGTTCTGGGAGATGTTGCGGTACTGAAGCTGCGTCAGAGCAAAGTAGATGCCAACGATGTCCAGAAAGCCAATCAGGCCCTTGAGGATCTCCTGCAGCACACAGGCGACGGAAAGTGGAGGTCAGGTTTCGAGAGAGGCTCTTTCAGAGCTTGTGTCAGAAAGTCTACCACAGCATGTGAGACGGTGTGAACCATGTCACGAATAAGCTATGACCATATAGAGACCAGATGACAGCAGAGAAGTTGATATGATGGCCGTTCAGAGAAGGGATCGGTGAAGGGAGGAAAGGGGGCGTTTGGGGGTTTACCTGGTTGAGATCGAAAACGTCTGCATCTTGAACTCGTAGGAACGTGGCTTGGCAGATGAGCTGCGAGGAAGAACAAGTGTTAGAATGGAGGAAAAGCAAGTAGTCCAGTTAAAAAGGGGGCACAAAATCGCAAAGGGGGGGTGCCAGATATTTTGAGGAGAACTCTTGGATGGATTGTAGCCTACCGTGTCTTATAAGTCAGCGAGAGAAGTCGCTTGATCGATGATCTGCAGTTGTCCAGGGATTCTCAAGTCTGAGTCTAGTTCAGAACGTGGCACGTAGCGTCTGAGTATGTTGTGATCCAACAATAGCAGGACGGCATGTTATCTGACTGCCAATAAACGAGTAGCCCAAGACAGTGGTCAATCTCAGATCTACACCCAGAACATCTGGTCGGAAGCAATGTGGTGGTAGAAGTCGATACTCAAAACTGGCCCCAAAAAGCGGGGGTGGCTTACTTTTAGAAGGGCGGTGGCGATGTAAACTGCCGCTGCTTTTGCGCTTGTCGTGAAGGTGTCGTAGTCGGACCTGGCAGAAAAAACACGGCGAATGTTTAAGGACCAAGCAAGTCACAGACACAGAGTATGTCCGCTACTTCTCTCGATCAGTAACTTAAGGCCAGAACCCATGATTATTCTCAGTATCAATTGATCATTCTGCTCCATCAACTCTTCACCTACCAAATGATCAGGTCCATGGCTCACGCTACGGTATTATAGCATACATACATTATGGAAGTCTAAGCGGAGGGTTGAAGTTTTGTTGCATTGTCAGCACAGATTTGAGAGGCATGACGCATCAACTGTGTCACAAAGCTCAACGGCATCTGGTCAACTCACAGTGGTGTGGCCTTGTAGTATATGAAGTGCGGCAGGAAGGTGAGCGCCGAGCAGTTGATGAAATGAAAGAACGTCATTGCCCTGGTCTGATTCTATGGAAGGCAATGGGGTATGAGCTTTCCACAGGGGAGACCCCTTTCTTCTAATGCGAGACTGTCAGCTTTTGAAGCTCATCAAGCCTATTGCAGCGTCGTTTCTTCTTGGGAGGCGCCACGCCTTTTGACGCAATTGCCTACCGTCAGCGGGGCAGGAATGCGTGCTATCCTACACAAGAAAGCCTGCTCGGACAAGGAAGATGTGCATCGACTTTGATGGCCCTTTGGCGTTGGTACTGTAGCCGAGCTACTTCAGCAATGCTTGAATGGAGGATTCTGATCAGCACCACTGCAAAACTGGCCAGTTCTAGTGCCGGTATAGGCCAGTCGAGTTTGCCGCAGGTTAAATCGGGTTAGCAACCCCAAATGGCACTGACTTACCACAGGCCGACTGGAAGCGGTTCTACATAGTGAATGCAGTGTTACCTGAACCAAGTATTGGGTTTGACCGGAACCAGCAACGAGGGAAAGAGAAGGGTGCATGTGGAATCTCGATCTTGGCAAGCAGAAGAATCTTGATTCCTTTCTTCACAGCAGAGCGCGTACTTTTGTCCTTCTCGCCTACCACCATGGCCAGCTTCAAGGATCTCTCCTCCGACGCCGGGTTGAAGGAGCTGGACACGTACCTTGCTCCCAAGAGCTACATCACTGGGTGGGTTTTCTTCCTGTGGCCGAAAAATGCGGGGATCGAGATGGTCGGCGCACGTTTTGGCGTCCCGTTCTGTCAATTCACCAGACTGCGGGTTTTGAGTGCATTTTGGAAGGACGGCAAGGGTCGCGAATTTGCTTGTTGGAGTTTGTCAAAGGAAATTTGTCAAATCATTGACGATCACAGTTTTTGCGGATATGCATTACATCCTGGTTGTCTATGCAAGTTCCTCAGCATGTGGACAATCTGGCAATTTGCCACTAATGGCAATCTGATAAATTGAAGCTCTGGTCTTGAGCAACCAGGCTTCCTGTCTTTAACTTTGTAGTGCTCCTGATTTGCAGGTATCAGGCATCTCGCGATGACCTGGCCGTGTATGCTGCCCTCTCCGCCGCTCCCGATGCATCGAAGTATGTCAACGCCGCTCGGTGGTACTCCCACATCACTGCCCTGCTGGGCCACAAGTGAGTGCACCGTTACCATCTTCTCTTGTACCGTATCCCCTGTGAGCATGAATTGGACTTCTTTGAACTTGTACTGCATTATCAGCACATTAAGAAGGTGCAATTATCTGCATCCGTTACCAGCATGGCACTTTGATGAATCTGTTGCATCGGAAGGTGCGCTTTAATCTCGTTCGTATCCTAGTAACGCCAAATGGGCATTGTTCAGCTGTGTATCATCAGATTCCAAAGAAGTCATCAGATTCCGAAGAAGTTTTACTGCACACTGGCCTGGAGGTTGGGATCGGTGTAGTAGGATGGATCCACAGCACCTAGTCAAATAGAAAACTCGAAATGATCAATTGCGATGACATGGCACAGCCATCTTCGGGGAGGCCTGGTATTCCTACCAAACTGAGCCCTTGGTATGCATTGGCACAACCATCCAAGAAACACAAAGTGCTTTTCATTAATGCATTTGCAAGAGCGATGCTGAAAGTATTTGCCAGCAGAGACCGTGTGTGCAAACCTGATTATCTTGCACCAGGATTGAACTTTCAAATTACTAAATGTGCAGCTTCACCGGTGCTGCCACTGGTGTGAGCATTGGTGGATCTAGCGCGGCCCCGGCCGCAAAGGCCTCGGCCCCCGCCGCCTCTGCTCCCGCCCCCAAGACCCCTGCTCCTGCTGCCCCCAAGGCAGCCGCCCCTGCTGCTGTAAGGCTCGCTTCGTATTGTCTGGGTATAGAAGCTGAAGTTCCTTTCCTTGCCCTCACTGGGTTGAAATGCCGAAGTTCCTTTGCATTGACCTCACGAAATATCATCCATGTTTTGTTGGTGGAATGCTTTCAGGAATTTTTGAGTTCATTTTGTGGGACAGACATTCGTGATAGGTTCGATGATGTAGTTGTCCTTCTTATGATCTGAGCGCAGCTGAGCACTTTTGAGTAGACCAAGGTTGCTCTTTGGCGAGCGTAATCTGGCACAAACATCCCGAGTCCTGAAGGATGCGAACAAGTCTCTTGCGGACAAGTGTATCACTTTTCTAGTTGCAACTAGAGTTTTTATTACTTTTCTGGTACCCTACGCCCTCAATAAGCCGGCAGACAGAAAGGTGTACGCCGTTGAACTGACACTGCGACTATGAGGGCGCAAAGTGACATAGGGGCTGTCTGCCTGTCTTGACTTCTGAAGGAACGGGCCTGAGCTTCCTGAACATCTATCACCAATTCAATCTTCTCTGGAGTCATTTGTCACACTGTCATCATGCAGAACCGACATCCCTGATCATAGATTTGAGATCTATTTTCGGTTTGAGCCTCCGTTTCTTTAGGTCTTCAGAATCAGTCAACACATCCCCAATTAAATACATCACTCAAGGGCTCTCAATCAAGTCCTTCTTGACTCTCTCAACAGGACGATGATGATGATGATGACGATGACGATGTCGACCTCTTCGGTGAGGAGACGGAGGAGGAGAAGAAGGCCAAGGCTGACCGGGAAGCGGCAGCCAAGGCATCCGGCAAGAAGAAGGGTGAGTGGAACAGCACACTTCAGCCCGTGGGCCTATTACAGCGCCACCAGGACCCTTCCATTGAACATCTTGTTGTCTGTGAATTATGGGAAGGGGCTTCAGAGTGTTATGGGTGTTCTTTGCTGACCGCAAAGGTTCGGGTATGAAAGAGATGACCGGAATCTTAAACTTGTGCATCTGCGTGGGGGCCTGGCTCCCAGTTGCATCGCATTGCTCCTCGTCTTCCTGAGCATAGTTGCCGGGCTTTTCTGTGTCTCGCTGCTTCCCGTGGAAAGTGGCTTGAACTTACGCTTCCTCGATTGCCTCAGCTTTCAAGTATGTCAGTACCAAACTTCTAGCCGCGTTTTCGCTGCAAAAACCTTTGCCAAAAGGTAGGTGTTGGAGCTGAGCGCTTTTGTAAACAATACATCTTCAGGTCGGATGAGCTGACCGTTAGACCTGCTGCTTGTTTGGTGCAGTCATCGGCAAGTCGTCTATTTTGCTGGACGTCAAGCCGTGGGACGATGAGACCGACATGAAGAAGCTGGAGGCCGCAGTCCGGGCGGTGAAGAAGGACGGCCTCGTCTGGGGAGGATGTAAGTGCCAAAATGCTGCTCTGGTTCCTTACTTGTTCGAATCATGGATGTCTCTCGTTATGCGATTGGCATGATGGTATGCAAGTTTCTGCATCCAAGCAAATGCGTTCAGACAGCCCTGTCATTTTGACCAGCCAACGGGTTCCAATCATGTTGCTTTTGTCAACTTGCTGAGAGTTTTCATGGCCGATGGAAGAGCCACTTAAGCAACGTAACACGGAGGGTAGAAGTTTAATTTCTTGTCGCACCTCTTCCCGCTGAAGTCTGTCTCCGTTTAGGCCGACTCGCATGACTTAATCTTCTACTGCTGTTGAGGTTATGTGGTGCTGTCAAATAAAGGTGGCTCTGAGCCATCTTCTGAACTTGCACTCGAGGGTTCCCAGGATGCTTGGCAACGTTTTCAATCAGCGTGTTTCGGCAGTGGATTAGCTTTCCGGTTCCCCACAATGTGAGCGCAAGCTTGTGTTTGCTATTAAAACAGACGCTCATTGTTTGCCTTTCGAAGAAGAAAGAGGACGGAGGTCTTTCGTCGGATTGATTGTCCTATCGCGAGAACCCAACAGCACATTCTGGAGGTCGTAACCCGCTATCTTTACCAGCACGTTTATTGACCACCCATGTTCCATGTCGTTTGTCCAGCCAAGCTGCTCCCCGTTGGCTACGGCATCAACAAGCTGAACATTCTGATGACGATCGAGGACGAGAAGGTGTCCATCGACGAGCTCATCGAGGATGACCTGTGCGGCGGAGAGGAGACCAAGGAGTACGTCCAGTCCTGCGACATCGTCGCCTTCAACAAGATCTGTGAGTACATACTACACCCCAACCTTTCTGAAACACTAAGTTGGTTCACAGTGGATTTGGTGCACGGGGTTTTGGTATACGCTTCAGATTATTGGAGGTGGATGTAGGATGATTTGAATCCAACGAGACCAGTATCGACGGAACTGGGCGCCACATCTTTCGTGATTTATAGTGGCCAACATCTATATTTTATCAATCATGGTCGGCATGCGTAAGAGTGCTGGCAAATGTCATCTGTTTTCCAAGTCCCTTTGGACACGTGTTCCATTATTGTTCGTCTTCCTGTTCCCACTACGATGTGGAGGGCTCCTCTTTTTGTCTGCTTTGCTTAGCGTGGTGCAGGATGACTGGACGTCGATGATTGGTCGTCATGTCAGGAAGGCGCGGGGAGGTTCCTCCCTTTCCGGGCTGCTCTTTCCTGCTTGCCCGCAGTTCTTTTTCAACGTTATCAAATGCGTTCTAACGGCCGCCATTCTGTGCAGAAATACGTCCAAGAAACGGACAGGCTCTGTCAAGCATCCGTGCGGTTTTGTTTATGAGGAGCTGCTTATTCCAAGCGCAAGGCGGGTTTGCAGAATAAAGAGTTGACTGTGCATCAAACACGGACGCGTCATGCCAAGCGTGTAAGCTGATTGACGTGAATGCCGAGGAACGTCGAGTTTTGTCCAGCCAATAGGTTGGTCACATTCCAAGTTTTGCGGCACAAATCCATGCTTCATGTCAAGCATGCAACTATGGGTAGCCATTGAGTAATTGCGTTGGGGCAGCTGCACCCAGTGACTACGATGGGCTCTTCAATCCTGATTGCGAGTGCATCAAAATTACAAATTATTTTGAGTCCTTCTACTGAGTTAGTCGGCCATAAGGAATCACATGACGTGCGCTCATTGATGGCCTGATGGTAGTAGTAGTATATCAACAAGTCTGGTATGTTCATGATAGTTTATGCGCTGTACATACGAATTCGTATATCTCATGCACATGTGAACGGTGTCATTTGACAGTTCGAGACATGGTCGAGCTCCTACAGCAGGCCGGAGCCAATCTACCTCTAAAGCAAGCATCGTGTGAATATTTGTCGCAAAGAACCGGGTCATGACAGTAGTATCGATCAAAATCAATCAAGGTATGGTATATGTAGAGTTTACTCTAGTACGAAACCCTGCGCGCGCCGGCCGGAAAAGGAAAGTCGATCAAAAATGCAACATGCACTGGCCTAAAAAGATGATTAAGCATCTAACTGCATGCCAAGCACACCAACGGCATCAGGATATTGGCTTGCCTCTCTTTTACGAAGTAAAATAGCAAGCTATTGCATTCGGGGCAACCGCGTGTCGGGCGACACTGTACGACGTGGCTCTGCGGAAGATAAGCATGTCCAGACTGGTGGTATTTCAACATGCGTGGTGTTCGATACGAAAACGTACGCAGAATCCCCCTAAGGGAGGCGTCATTTTGAAGCCGTACCCCCCGTATTAACTGCTGTGGGGGGGGAGCCTAAAGCATCGGGTCAATGTTGAGGGTCGGAAGGGGGGGGAACCTACCAACTATGTGGCTGCGAAGCGGCCACATGGGGGGGGAACCCAAGCAGAAATGCAGCGGACCAGCATATGGAGGGGGGACTTGAGGCCTTCAGAGGCCTACTAACGCTGATGGGGGGGGGACTTGAAGAATTGGGACGGCCTGGACGGCGGCTGGCCCGCCCGGCCTGCCGGGCCGGCCGCAAACCCTTAAAGCCGCGGCCGGCCTATACTAGGATAAATGCCGCGCGTCCGATCGCGCACTTTCAATCAGCCCGAGCACTCAGCTGCAGCATGCATGTACCGGCAGTGTCGAGTCTACAAGCTTGAAGTTGAAGTTGAAGACGGATCCGCACTGGCATTGTGCACCTTGCTGGCTGAGCAAGTCTTCCTGTAGTTGCTTTGAGGTGTACTTGCTGTAGCTTGGAACTGGGCAGCCATGAAGAAAGCGTCAAATACGTTGCATGACTTCCTGAGCAAGCCCCAAGCAGGGCTGCAAACTGGTGGGAAGGGGGCAGGTGCTGGTAAAGACCGAGCACCCACTTACTTGGGCAAGGTCAATCTGAGCTGCCTAAGTGCATCCGGGAAGAAGCCTGCAGCTCTTACAACCCTCTGTCCAACAAGGAAGCCTGACATCCCGCGCAGTGAGTCAGAGTTGGAGAAGCTGTTCCATGAAGCTCGCGACCAGCCCAACGCTCGCAAGACAGGTTCAAATGAGCTTAGGCATTTGCTGGCAACCTTTGTTACATGGGAAGAAGCCCTGCGCAAGGTAAAGGAGGAGCTGAAGCGCCGTACGGCTGAAGAGAAGAAGTGGAAGGCGGGTGCGCTGGAGCTGACCCCTGGGCTGTGGTGGAGCATGGCTGCCAACCGCAGAGCTGTATCAACGTGGGAAGCAGAACTCACCAACCGGAAGGATCAGTACCAGAGGTATCTCCAGGAGTTGTACGACTCTGTCCTGGAGGAGCTTAACGCGGGAGCTGACATGATCAAGTACAAGTGCACTTTGTCAGCTCGGTGAGTAACTTGCCAATCTCGCACACAACCTGGTAATGGTTAGCAGGTTGACTTCTGATCAGATGACGCAGTTCTCTTCTTTGGATTCTGATACAACAGTTGGCAATATCACTTCATGACTGAACACTGTTTACAGTACCTAGTAGGACATGCATGAGAATCTGATCCGTGGTCAGTGCCACTCTGTTTCTTGGTGCTACTTGAAGACAAGGTTGCTTTCAGATTTTGAGGACGTTCAATTGCTTTCGGCCTGTCCCATATAATAGTTGCACATAGTCTAAAGGTGCTTCTTTTTGTGCAACATCCAGAATGTACAGGGACCAGATGTCATTTGCAATGTTCATTGCTTCAAAAGTGCCAAGGCAGCCAGCCTTTCATTTGAGCTTTCAAACTGATACAATTACATTGCTGCTTTTTGCAGGAGTATTCCGGCCTTTGTCAAGCAGAAGAGTCTGATTGACAAACAGCTGGACGATCTCCAGTCCTGGATCCGTCAGATGCAGCGCGACGAGAGCCGGTACTTGAAGGACAAGATGGCAAAGCGGAAGCTTGATGGGGTTTCGGTGGAGGGGGCTGTAGACGCTCCTGATCAGAAGAGGCTGCGAGCGCTTGAGAACTTCAAGGGGAAGTCGAGCAAGGGTCAGCTTGACATGGGCAAGGGCGAGATTCTGATCCTCCTTCCTGAGCAGGATGAAGCGGTTGTCGCAAAGGGGTGGTATCGGGTGCAAAACGAGGAGGGTGCAGAGGGGCTTGCGCCGGTGGCCTGGTTGAAGGAGAGGAGTCCTTCCCCGCCTCGACGAGCCGCCAGCCCTGAGGCTGGTGACAGAGAAGGGAGTGTCAGTACGGCGCCTGCGCTGGCCCCCGGGAGCAGCCCCCCCCGCACGCAGGTTGGTCCTACAGAGGTACTCACTCCCACGTCCCGTCCAGTTTCACAGACCCCGTCAGGAGGGGTGGCTGTGAGTGAGAAGCCGGAGGGGGATTGGGAAATGGCTGGTACGGAGGCTGCAGAGGTCGAGAGACAGCGAGAAGCTGAGTCTGGCAGTCCCCGCGCTGACAGTGAACCGCAATCCGGGAGCTTAAAGCTTCAGTTCTCGGAGAAGTCTTTATGAAGCCAGGAAGCCGCTGCCGGGGGAGGAGGCGGCTTGGGGAACGGGGAGGGTGGCGGCTTGGTTTTGAGAGAAGGGGGCGCATGTGGGGGCGCCAATCTGAGCGGAAGAGGCAGTGACTGCGCAGAAGCCAGCGCAGATGCTGAAGACTCCGCTGCAGAGAGTGAGGGCGAGGAGAGGACGGCGAAAGAGTCGGATGGTTCTTGGCTGGGGGTGCGGATTGTCCAATTGAGCAAAGGTTTGTTTGCGTCCTCAGCTCCTATGGAGTGGGCGCAAGCAAAAGTCCTGCTTCGCAAGGCAATCAGTGATCCCAAGTTCAAGAGGCAAAGCTGGTGGAAGAGTTGTCGGCTGGTTAACATGAAAGGGGCGCTGGCAGCGATGGAGAGGGTTGATGGGTCAGATTCGGCAACGTTGGAGCTTTGGGAAGCATGGCATTGCTTGCAGTCGGTGGAGGGGTCAAACAGAAGCGACTTTCAGAAAAATGCCCGAGCAAATTGCTGGAGAGCCTTGCTTTCCGTCGCCCCCTTCGTCGCCATTGTCATCGCTAGCAGTGACGACACCAGCTCGCATAGGACAATTCTCTTGCCTCGCAGCGGCGAGGTGGAGGTTTTTAGGGAGTTGCAGCAACATTTCAGGACTTCAGTAGAGCTTGATACCGCAGGAAGGTTGGCTAAGATTGCGGGTCTGCCGTTGAAAGATCTCCAACTCTTAGCAGGGTCAACGCAAGCCTCGAAAGTTTTGGACTACGCTCTAGGATTGGTTGTAGGAAAGAAGCAATTAGCCAGGCAGGTTGATGGGGTCAGTCTTCGTACGCTGCGTTCGCACACCAGGCAGACAGAGAGCGCTCTCGATGCCATGCCCAGCATCCTCAAAGAGGTAGTTGACGAGGTCAGCGGCGAGCGAGAGAGATTCATGGAGGTAGCGGAAAAAGCTGCTGCACGCGCACTAGACGCGCAGGATCAGGGAAGGGGTGTTCCTGCTGAACTTCTTGAAACAGCGGCGTTCGTAGCACAGCGGAAAGGGGAGATCAGAGAAGTTGGAAGCAAGGCATGGAGGGCGCTGGTGAGGAGGCGATTCAAGAAGCGTTTGGAGAACACCCCAGAGCTGAGGCATGTGGCACGGGGCCACCAGGTAAGTATCGAAAGCTTCCTGCTCGAAAGTGGATTGTCAAGCGTCAAGTTGCTGCATGTTCGAGTTTGCCTTGCCTTTCAATCTCAGTATTAGGGCTTGATTCGTTCAAATATTCGCAGCGATTTGGGTTTTAACAAGTCATTTTGCTCAAGTGAACTGTCTGGCTGCTTGAAGCAGCTAGTGCGCAGGGGTGTGCAATATGGTCTGGGTAGAAAGAGCAGCAGGGGTGTTCAATATGGTCTGGTTGGAAAGAGCAGCTGGAGTTCAGTGCAGGGATTTGCAATCGAGCAATCAGTCTTTTTGGGATTTCAATTCTGCGCAGACTGCAGGCATGGGCATAGTGCACATCTCAGCGCCATCTTTTCTGCCTTTGCTTCAATGATAAAGCACCCCTTTCTTTCGAACACCTTGAAACCCCACTTTCACGAGTTTTTGTCTCAATGATCATGAGAAAGACACGCTTCTTGCTAGCGTCCCTGCTTTGAAGCTCCTTGTCCAGGTGTTTGACTGGCCCCCCTTGTTGACTGGCTCCAAAGTTTGCTCGGCACCTAGAGGAAATGAACTTGGTGTTTTCGGTCAACTCTTCTTGTAAACCCTCACAAACCCGGGAAACTTTTCTGCGGCCAACTCTAGGCCTAGTATTAGGGACTAGTTCAAAAGCTTTTTTTAGTATACATGGTGACTGATTGAGGCTTTGTTGATGTGCAAGATCGCTGTCCATGTCAAGTACCCCCACTTCAAGCCCGCGGTGGAGCAGCTCGTCATGCACATGAACGGCGGTCGGGCTGATGCCAAGCGGGCGTCAGTTTCGATCTACATGGGGAAGAGCACCTGGAAGACGGTGGTCAAGAAGCTGGCTGACGAGGCGTCCATGGGTGATTTGGGAGGCGCTATCCGGGTCTCCGAGTCCACTCTGAAGAAGCATCGGAAGCGAGCCGATCGGTCCATCCAACCCAAGATAGCAGATCCTGCCGGGCAGGTGGATCTCTCCTCTCGCAAGGTGGCCAAGGTCCTCCTCCCCACGGAGGATGAGCAACCAAACGGGTACATCATGAACAAAGCCCTGAAAGAGCTCGAGGCTTGGGCGGTTCTGAACTCATATTGGGTCAACACTGACAACACGTGAGAGTTTATGACCAGCTTCAGAGCCTTTTCTGCTTGTACTTCCACTGAGAAAAGTGAACGTAGTCTGTCTACTGGTCAGCTAGGAGGAAGTCAGGTTTTGATGGTGGAGTAGACAACCAGCATGCGTCCTTGTGTGTATATGACTGATTCTGTTTGCATACTTCCAAATCTGACCCATTCTTGTTGCGTGCTTTCAGTTACTGTTCGTCAGCGAGTAGAAAGCCAGGTTTGATGGTGGGTTTGACCATACTTCAATTCTGCCTGCTATTATTGTTGCATGTTCAGTTACTGGTTGCTGCGCAATTCCTTCTTGATCCTTTTTCACTTATCCATAACCTTTGCGCAGGGACGACAAAGCAAACCTGCTCCTCGACCTGATATACTCGAAGAAGACCCTCCTCCAACTCCTCTACCAGCAGCGGCCCAGTGCTGAGTTCAACCTGGACGCATACGACAAGCAAGTGAAAGCTCACATGCACGATCCCCCGACTGCTGCGGGGTATAAGCTGGTCCTCAGCTCTCATCTACTCCTCCACCTAGGGACGGATGCTGTGACGGAAGCCGTACCTCAAGGTAAATTAGCAGGGTGCCGTTTGTGTCTCGTGCTCAAAGAGTAATTGCTTTAACTGGTCTCAGCTTATTCTGACATGCTGGTTTTGCTGGTCCGTGACAGTCACATGTTCGACATGCAGGCGTCCTTTTCTGGATAAAGATGGTACACTGTCGCTCGTTTGAAGTCTGTGCTTGTTGCGCTTGCACGTTGTCTTGTTTTTCGGTCCAAAATCCGGACAATTGGAGCATTTGGTATATGCAAACCATGCTGAGTGCTGAATGCGTTTCAAACTTGTGTGGCAAGGTGGACCGCGTCCGGTGCTGCTCTGGGATGTCTCTGGTCGGAAGCACACGCGCGACGGCCTCATGGTCGTGTACGTCAAGGGGATGAAACTGCAGCGATCCACAGCGTACGAACACACGCGCAACATGCTCCACAACCTGGAAGCGTCGCCTGAGCTGTACCAGGTGCGAAGCTGTGCTAATTTAGCATCAGGAGATTTCACCGTCAAACTGATTGCTGTAAACAGTGGAACGAAAGGCCCTTGTACTTTCTGCTTCATCTTAGTTCAGACGTTTGTCCTAATGCTATGGCTTGTCTGATTCGGATCGGCAACACAATAAGGCGTCTGAAGTGCTCGATTGCAGCTCTCAGAATCATCAGCATAAGTATTGGGCTGTCCACAGATGTCTTTCCGCACCCAAAAGGCTCCCGAGATTCAGACATGCACGGCGCTGTTGCCACCAATATCAGCTGAAACCACCCGCAATTGATGTCCCAACAGCAGTCAGCCCCATGGACGATAGATCAGGATGTGGTGTTCTCCTTCACATCCAAGGTATGGGATGTCTTGAATCGTGATTGATATCCTGATTCCATGTGCACACATTCAGGTTCCAGGAACGGAGAAGACAAAGCCCATCCTGGTCAACATGGTGGACGGCGGTGGCGACGAGAACCCCCGCTTCTACGCCAAAAAGATGGCTTCCGCTGTGCTATTCATGCGCGGCGGGTATGAGCTACTCATTTGCGCGACGCGCGCTGCCGGCTGGAGTGCGTACAACCCGGTGGAGCGCGGGCAGTGCTACCTGACCCAGGCGTTAGACGGCTGCATTTTCGAGTCGGACTTCTACGGCAAAGTGCGGTTGAAGGCGGATGGTACAGCGGCTTCTGATGCGGTTCGTCGCATTTCACCATCACTCTTTGAAAAGTCCCAGCTGATTCCTCGCTTGCCCGTTTTAGCACGTGTTGCTTTGCAGGGCCCCTACAAGCTGGTTTTGCAGTCTCATGCTTGTGGGTGTAGGTGGCAGATTGTATTGCAGGCTGTGCGTAGGCCTAGATTTGTTGAGCCTGAAGCCTTTCTCAAAGCACTTGAGCTTCACCAGGAAAGGTTTGCTCGATCCCTACAAGCTGGCTTCGCAGTCTCAGGCTGGTGGGCGTTTGTGGCAGCTTGTGTTTGAGGCTCTCCGCTGTCCTTGGTCTGTGGAGTCTGAAGCCTTTCAAAGCACTGAAATGCCCCCCGAGGAAGGATTGACACGCCTGGGGTTGATCGTGTGCCGTCAAAACAGTTCATTAATGTTTTCACTTGAGTGGCACGACGATAAGATCTCTTCATATCTGCAGGACGCTAAGCTGGAAGGACGAAACTTCGAGTACGCGGTGGAAAAGTGCCGGGCCACGTTAAACAGATCAGCGGCCTTTGAGAGGTAAGCAGGTCGAACGCTTGCTCTTCAATACAAGGCTGTTTTGAGACTCAGGGCAAGCAGCCTTGACAAAGATTGTCTAGTTGATAAGCCGGTGATTCAGATGCTCTTGATTCAGCTGTGGCGCACATTGATTTGCTGCACTATTGACCGCAGAATCAGGGCCAGACTCTGATGGTGAATATTCTATGCTCATGAACACAAATCTGGTTATCTAGGTTGTACACAACTGTTTCGGATCCTCTGCAAACAGACCTATACTAACGTGCATCATGGTTGTTTTTTGCAGGGAGATCAAGGCTGTCGTCCCCCCCCCACCTCAAAGCAGCTCCCCGTTTGTATATATTGACCACGAGGCGTTTGAGAGCTACCGCAAGAGTAGCGGGGAAGGCGGGTGCGGATGCCAGACGGAAGACCGGTGCTCGAGCGCTCGGTGCCGGAAGTGCTGGGATCAGGGTCTGCCGTGTACGAAGCGCTGCAAGTGTCAAGGGAAGTGCGGCAATCCACATCTGATGCCGCTCCCCGAAGACCTGGCTTGCTATCCCGTGGAGAATCGCGCGCTCGTCTCCCTCGAGGAGATTGTTGCGCAGCTAACTCCGCGAGATGTTGAGTTTTGGGCGTTGAAACATGGCAGGTTCAGGCACTACTGGTTCCAGTACAAATTGTGCGATCTCGCGGAGGCGGAGAGTTGCTGGTACTGTAGTCGGTTCGGCGAAAGGCAGATACCTACTCTGTCTTTCTTCCCCATCGTTTCCGTCCCTGACGGTGAAGGGAAGTACGTCGACCTGAAAGAGCGTGCGGAATTGGTGAAGAAAAGGGATCCAAGTGCGGAGGCCTTCTTTGCCGACTCTGCGCTCCCCTCAGTGATTCTGGCCACCGCCTGGCAAGCGTCACCAACACTGACTGACGAAGCATTGTCCAAGTTAGTTGACGCCACAAATCTTCAGAGGGCTTCAATTGTAAATTATTTTAGGAAGAAGAATGAAGCGCCCAGAGAAAACAATGCTGCTGACAGAGACAGAATTGTAGAAGATGGTGTCGAATAACATAACATTATACAAATTGCACTCGCAACTTGAGTCTCACGTACGGATGGAGGCTAATAAATCTGCTTGTATCAAGAAGATGGTTCGATGCTGTTTGGAATCGCAATAAATTAGCGCGTGATGTGCAGCGGTTCATCTCACTTGCGTCTGTCATACCTAGCTAGTATATATGAAATTGATTACATGTTCGAGAGAATGTATGGTGACATTTGCTACGATCTCATTGGGTCCTCGGTCACTCAGCACTGCCAAGCATAATATATACTAATATCATTCATACATGGTTCGACTGCATGATGTCGTGCATCATTAACAAGAGCTATACATGCTAATTCAAGAAAGGCAAGGCTTGGCGACATATTTGGAAAGCGGTCTTGATTTATGGCCATGCAGATTGAAGAACATGGTATGATGTTCTCTTTTTACGCGGTAGCCACCTGGATGATGAAAATGAGATACGAGTGCAAGATTGTGGTCAGGATACAGATGTGACATGGATTGTATATTGCAAGCATGTATTTAAGAGCAGCTGTCCTGACTGCTGTGGCGGTTCATGCGCAGGTTCATATGCATGCCGATTACTACGGTACCATGCCCTACACTCAAAGTGACAATGTGACATGGCTGCGTGTGGCTTGCATGATCATACGGTCCAAAAAAAAAAACTCAAAGTGACATGGGGGGGGGACCTGAGGGTCGAAGATTAGGGTTTGTGCGATGAAGGGGGGGGTACTTGAGACCTATACAATACTTCTCGGCATGGGGGGGGGACTTGAGGCTTAAGCCAACGGGCCAAGTCAACATGGGGTGAAACCTGAAAGCTCATACAAAAACCCCTCAGCAGTTAATACGGGGGGTACGGCTTCAAAATGACGCTTCCCTTAAATAGTCCAGACCATGTTTACGTCCAAGCCTAGACTGCCCCGCGCGGCTGCGCAGAATTAAATGCTACTCGGAATCGTTCGCGGACGCGAAGTTGCCGCCCCAAAAATCCGTAACGATGTAACGTTTGGCCTCGATTTCTCCGAACAGGCCTGCTCTAAAGCTGCCACGTTGCATGGCGAGGTCAAAATAGCTGCCACGTCCTGATTCGTACCGCTGCCCAACATCTGACACTGTGAAGCACCCCGGGCTCTGAACGTCGAAATCAAAATTCAAAACACCCTTATTTGCGATGGACTCCTTCAGTACTGCTTGCCTTGGGATTTCAGAAGGTATTAAAGTGCCCGGAAGGTAGAGTGGCGAGTAGCCTGGTACGCACTGTAGAGATACCCACGGTGCGTACCAGAAGATGGTGTACGGATTACGTCTAACGTGTGCGCGCTCGCGCAAGACTTCCATGGATAGAGCCACGTACAAGATATTAAAACGCCAAACAATGCCCTTTTAAAATTTTGCCCAGTCGCACCACAGAGAGGCAAGCCCCCGCCGCCCTTCTGGGCGGTCTATCATGTACATGGCCCGGGTGATTGCACATGCAGTTTTACGTCTCAAATCCAAATCTAAGTGGCGTGCATGTACATACGCAGCTGCGTGATAGTACACTGAGTCAAGGTAGCCGCTGGGGGTGCTGCCGGCCTGCCTGCGGATGCAACATTCCATATAATACTTCCGAGTCCGATCGATACGCGAGGGCAGCAACTTCAACATAAAACAAGAGTTCATTTGATGCGCGGCATCAAACATGCGTTGGGAGCTTGCCTTCCGCTCAAGCATTTGGAAACACTTGACAATATAAGCGCACCTACTTCTCTGCTTCATCTATGGAACATGTTTTGGACCATGCGGATTTTCGCGCCAGTTTGCGTGCTGAGTCTACTCGTCGACAAGCTTGAGTTGCTAACTTTTGGCCCGTCGATTCCGGATCTACTGCAAAGGCAGAAAGCTTCTTCTCTGTAAGGTGCTCGAAACTTCAGGTCTGCTATTTGGCGGCGGCCGGTGCTCCTGGAACTGGTGTCCGAGCTAGCCCTATGACGATCCCGTACATGATGACCTAATCTGCCTTCGTAGTGTCCTGCTTCTTTGCCCGACTCGCTTTGCAATGTTTTCTGTGGGTATTCCAGTGCAGCTTCTGATGCTCCTTGCTGCATGAACGAAGCACACGTGATGCTTGGTTAGCGGGGTTTGGTTGACACGTGATAACCCGATTGCAAGTGCTAAAGTAGACTCGCAGAAACGTTGCTCGGGCTTGTGTGCAGAGTCAACCATGCCCGACTCTGGTGCATGATTTTCAATCCAATGATCGAAAGAAAATTGCAAAATTGGCGAGGAAACTGCGTCCAAGGTAGTCAATCAGCTCAAGAGTCTGGTCTGGCCTAACTACCCAAGCTACTCATCAGCAAAATCATAGCGAGAAGATTCGCAGCTTCTGCCGAGGATTACTACGACTGACAAGAACGAAGGCTCCTTGTCAGAATCGTAATGCGGCCGCAAACAGCCAATCGGTTCCAGAGCTTCTTCTATCGAACTTATATTGAGCTTCTCAACGTTTTGTTGGCCCGCTCTGATCTCAACGTTGCAATGAAAAGGGACGGTTCGAAGCCAGAAGTCGGCAACGGCCAGAAATTTCACGGGTCTTTGACGTCATTGGCGATACGATCATGATGTAACAACGGCTAGTGCAAAGTAAAGCCTTCGGAAAGACATTCCCGACCAAAATAACAGTCGCAATCTTAAGCTTACTGATGTGGAGAAGAAAGGCGTCTGTCCGATGATGCAAGAAACTAAACGGATCCACTGAATCGGCAACTAGTCGCATACGCGCAGAACGCAAAGCATTGCCGCAGATGAAAAGGGTATCTGACTATACGACGTAGGCTCTCACCTGCAGTATCGCGCCACCTGGCAGCGCCCGCACGACGGGCTCGCGGCCGGCCGCGCACAGCTTCCGCGAGCACACAACCGGGGCCAAGTACTGTCTGCTGAGCTGTTCTTCCGCGAGCTCCCAATCCGCGGCGGAAAGCTCGCGTCTCAGGGGCATGTCTAGACCTCGCAACCTGCCTTCGTAGTACGCCCACGGGTGGGAGTCCGGTTCCGCGCCGTTGATCGTCCGCTTGTGGGGGCGGAATCCTTCGAGCGCGTTGTGCGCGCGCAGCTTTCAAAAGGAAAGTTTCCGCAAGGATGTCCACGGAAAGCAAGCGGAACAGGGCGATGTTGCAGCTGCGGTACGCCGGAGACGCCACCCGCTTGGACTGTTTGGACATCTCTCGCACGGGGGACGCTTCATAGATGGCCGCAATGAACTATAGGAGGCCCCGGTCGATCGCCCACATTTGACTGTCCGCAGAAGACGCGAGCGAGACTGCTAGACCCGCCATTAAAGCGAGTCGGATCCTTCGGACAACGTCAGGAGACATCTGCGCCAAGAACTGCGAGCGCAGCAGGTTCGTGAGTTGCTCGAACATGTTCCGCTCATCCGATGCGTCGCGGATGGCGTCCCGGAACGCTTTCGAAGCCCGCGCAAAGTTGGCCAGGCATTCCAGAGAACCGGCCACGACCAAAGTGCCCAAAGATTTTAAGGCCGGGAAGTTCCAGAGGCCCCCCGAAATGCGCACAATCTTGCAGAAGTGGGCGATGTGGAGCACAAGACGCGCGTACATCTGCCGCGCGTTCTCCTTCTTTTCCGACCCGCTTCCGCTCCGTTTCTGGTCCGGTGCTCCTCCCTCGTCTTTTTTCCCCCGCTCTGTTCCGTTTCCATCCTCTTCCGGCCGGAATCCGTATTCCTCCCCTCCCAGCCGCAGTCCCGCGCTCCACTACCACCTTGCTCGACGTCAGCATCCCAAGCGACAGCGTGTAACTAGAGGCGAGGAGGTGTTGGCGACCTTTGCTGTCGCCGTCAATCCGATATGGTCGCCCGAGCGTCAGCCACAAGAGCCGCCTAAGAACGGCACCTCCGTCCCATGCCGCTATTTCCTGGGCGAGCCTAGCAAAGCGCAATCCATTCTCATCTTCCGGACTCTTACAGAGGCCCATCGGCAGACTGCATCCGCTCCGGATTCCGTCGTCTGACGTCAGCAGGGAAGCGCAGCGCTCCACGGTCTCGTCTAGGTCACCCTGCATCGTGTTGCAAATAAACGCGCGCCTCTCAATTCGAGACATTTCGTCCCAATTGCTATGACAGATCTGAGAATCTCGTGAGCTCCGATGCGGCCTCCATCTCTTTAAGTACAGAAGGCGCCAAAGAAGTTTTCGTCCTAGTTGCGATGGCGCTTCTGAAAGATCTTGTGAGCTCTGGTGCAGCTTCGCAGCTTGTCCTTTCCCCTCGCATAGCGCTTCGTGGCTTCCTTTTTGCAACCCGCTTCGCTCTCTGCATCGCATAACAGTGTGCGCTGCGTGCTGGCCAGGCGGCCTCCGTCTCTACCACGCTTCGTGCATGCGTGCGCCGCTTGCCAGTGTCCGGACAGGAGCGCATATACAGCTACTGAAGAGATCACACATGTATGCTGCGAATCAGAGAATGGCACTTGAGTAAATTGGGCCTTAAAGCGACCGGCCACGTACAAAATTGTGCAGTAACACTGAACAATTCAGTTGGGCGAGTTGGCACCGGTCACCACTAATTCACGAAGTAATTGACTGCATGAACCGGAACTTCAATTGGAATCACGTAAAGCAAAACTGCCGCCTGAGTTTGCAACTGTCGAGCGCAAGATTTTAGCGTACAAGCCACAAGCCACAAGCCACAATATACTTGCTACATGTCCTTCCATATCCCTGGCGAGCTATATCTTGGCCTGCAATGAATCAAAATTTTGAGGTTAACCCTCAAAATGAGGATCGGGGCCTCAGGATGACGTTGCGATCCTGCGGATTGCTTGCGCGATCAAAGAAGATGCATGCAATTGGCACCATATTGCATCATCATGCTCGTGCCGGGTTCATTAAGCAGGTCCGACACGAACTAATTTACGGTGTTTGCTTCACGTTACCATTGGCTGCAGAAGACTGTGCCCATTTAAGAGGTCTTCACACGAACATATTATGGGCGAGGACCATGATGGCTGGAATATAGTGACGCCGAACCGGTGCGTGTATCCTTTTGCGAGGGCTAGCTGGACTGTGGCTGGACAAGTTAGATTACCAACGGCCTGGCCTCGGATATGGACCAAAAGAAGAAGAGACGATGTTCCCTTATGAAGCCCGAATGGACCACGATTACGCGATTTGCCAGTTAACCTGGACTCACAGTGTCTAAAAGAATACTCAAATCTATAAGAATCACTCGACAAGGGGCGCAAATCGCCGTAAGAACAAACCTACCTTCGAAGTATAATCCAGACCTCTTAAACCTCCATCTCAAATGCCAGCCAGCAAAGTCTTAACATGAACCTAGAAGAAGTAAGACCAACATGTCAATGTATCCTAACATATCTCGATCAAAAGACACCACCTTGTCTATTTTCAGTGCTACTCAGGCTTCCTCGCAGTCAAGAATATGTGCAACCTGTTGGTGTTCTGTGTGTATTCTACAAACCCGCACCTCGTCAGCAAGTCCCTGAGCTCAGGCTCCGTGAAGGGACGCACTGGCAGGGCCTGTACAAGCGGAGGGGCGGAACGAAATTCAGCGTATCGTACATGGCGGAAGTTCGTTATCTAAACCCCTCTTCCTGACGAAAAGGTCGCTCGCGCTTTGCTGCCAACGTTTGAACCGACCGCTCAAACCGGCTGCTTCCGGCCAAACGGACAAGCCCTAAGCACTTCCACCGGTCACCCAACCCGACCTGCCACCTTAGCCCAGCCTTAACCACCCGGCCACCCGACCCGACCCCTGACCTCACCCCTTAACTTTACCCCCGCCAGACCCTTTTCATTCCCCGGGCCTATCAATCGGCCTTTCTAACAGACAGAATGATGAACTGCCGGTTCCGTGTGCAACAGAAGTCGACGAGGCCGCAAGCGCGGGCCAAGTCTCGGAGCTCGTCCTCCTTCCACTGCCTGTACGCCGAGTTCGGCCCAAACGTCTGCAGGCAGACACGTGGCTACGCTCAGAGTCCACTACGTGGCAGGCGG